GATCATAGACTTCGGCTCAGGTAATGGTCTCACGGTTCCTGAGTTCGAGCCCCGCATCCAGCTCTCTGCTGTTAGCGAAGAGCCTGCTTCAGATCCTCTGTCCCCCTCTCTCTCTGCCCCTTCCCCGCTGGTTCTCTCTCTCTCTCAAAAATAAACTAAAAAAACCCACAACAACCCATATCATTAAATTCTAACGTTTAGCAGCCGTCCAAGTGATTTCACAAACCTTAATTTTATTCCCACCCCCCCATGAGAGAGATCCAGATAATGTACCCATTTTACAGATGAGGAGAAACAGGATGAGAGATGAAGGTAACTCGCTTGCGATCATATAGCTACTAAGTGGCAGAACCCAAACCCAGGCCTCCTAATGCTAAATCTCATGAGCGCTCCATATTTGGGGGGAAAAAATCCCAACCCAGAAAAAAAAAGCCTATGAAATGCCATACAAATATGTTATTACCACTCTGTGGCAAGGGTGAATAAGCCCAAAGAAGCATCATGCCTGACGCTGAGTTGGCTGCCCTGTGAAGGCGTCTGTCCTTTCCCATGGCGCCTCCTGACTCACCTGTTGGACAGGTAGGGGGAAGGGGAGAGTAATGAGTCTCACCTGCTCAGAGCTAGGGTGGGGCAAGACACACCCCATCCTCCCCATTTGTTCTTTCCTTAGTCTTACTGACAATTCCTTGTCCAATCAGGAGGAAGTAACGTTCTGTCTGCCAATAGGTGCGGAGTGAGGATGGAACCTCAAGTTGGAGGCCGTCCCCAGAGCCGACTAGCAGTCCCTGGGGCCAATGGCCAGCGGATAAACAGAGGCGGCGGTGGAAGAGAACTGGGCGTGAGGCTCCGCCCCTCGATGGGACAGTCAGGGGAGGCAGCCAGTGAACCCTCATCAGCGGGTGGGCGTTTTCCTTAGGGGCGGAGCTTCGAGGGGGCGAGAGGCGTGGCTTGGCTGTCAGGTCCCTTCGCCTTTTGTTCGGTTACTGAGTTGCTGCCTTGGCCAGAGTCCGGAGCAGCCGCCGCCCGAGCGCGCCGAGCTCAGTTCGCTGCCCGCGCCGGCTCCCAGCCCGGCCCGACCCCTACCCAGCCCGGCCAGGCTCCACACGCAGGTGCGGACGATCGGGGCAGGGATCGCTGGGGCGAGGGAAGGGCGGCAAGCGGCCGAGAGGCCGATCCCCGCCGTCACGGGGCAGGTGAGGGCGCGAGCCGGGGAGCGCCACCCTGCACCGGCGGCAGGGGGCGCGCTGGGACCCTTGGGCGCGGCCACTTAGGGGGCGCGAGGTTCGGGCCGATTGCGCTGGGGGCTGCGTGAGCTGGAGATCTGAGAAGGGCGGGGAGGGATGAGCGCAGGTGGCTGTGGGGTCGCGCCTGACCTGGGGCCCGTGGAGCTCGCCCGACGCCGCGTCCCCGACTCTCGCCCCGACGCTGGCGAGGGAGACTTTGCCCTGCTCATCTGCGTCCCAGGGCTCACTCTGTAGTCAGGAATGCACAGTTCGGGAAACTTGCTGCCGCTTGTGTCTTTGGGGCCACTCTCACCCCACCTCACGCGTCATCCTCGCTTTCCCTCCCTCTCTACTCCCCCAGGCCTGGGTGGGGCCCTATTGTCTGCGCCCGGCTTGCCCAACTGTGGGGGCCGAGCGCACATTTTCCCAGCGACGCGGGCCCCACCTGCGGAGCAGGTGAGCACACGGAGTCCAGAGGCCCTGCCCTCCAGCTCCCGGGCCTCGTCGGTACTGTACCTGCGGCGACTCCCTCCGCCCCGGTGGGTGCCGTGTTAGGGCTGCGCCGGCGGAGGTGGGATGCGATGACAGCGGGACTGGCGCGGGGCCCGGCTCCGCGCCCAGCTGGTGTCTGGCACCCGTGGCTCGGACTGGGGTCTGGGCGGAGGGGTCGTGCATGGCTGGAAAATTCACTGGCCCAGTTTCCAGTAGCTGCTGCTTCCAGAGTGTCGATAGGGGAACGGGACTACTCTTCTTCTCTAACCTCTTATTGTCGAAACAAATCACCCCAAACAAACTTTCCAGGAGGAAGTATTCACGGCGGCTTTCACTGCGGGGTTTCCTGCCTCCTTGTTCCAGGGCTTTCCCCAGGCTTAGGGGGTCCGTCTTAGGGCAAGGCCTCCTCTCCCAGCTGGCCAAGCTGAACCGGGGCTGGTGTCTGCGCTCTGACCCTGTCTTCCCTGCCCCCACATCCATCCTGTTTGCTGGGCCCCTGGGGCCCGAGGGGGCAGTGGGGGGAGGGGGGCAAAGGGGAAGCAGCTTCTTCCTTCTCTTCCTGTCTCCGGGGACCACCACACCCCCTCGCTTGAGGCCGGCGCCAGTGGCTTTCTCCCCAGCTTTGCCCCCCTCCCCAGGAATGGGGGTGGGGCAGGGCAGGGCCAAATTGACGAGGGTGGGGGGAGCAATTGTTCTAGCTTTTTTTTCCTCTACCCCATCCCCCCACGTTATATAGCTGGCTGGGTTTTGAGGCGGAAGAGTGTGGAGCTTGGGGCTTGGTTTCCATTTGATTTCTGGATTTTGAAGGTGCATTCCTTCTGGAGGCTTTTGCAGTCCGTTCCCCAGCCATTCCTTCCCGAGAGAGCTGCGTGGGGAAAGTGGGACAGGAGGAAGGTATGGGGGCAGGGGGAGGTTTCAGGAGAGCAACATGAGCACAGGCCCTCACCCTGGTTTCCTGAGAACCCCTTCCCTGGGCAGAGCTGGAGATCACCAGGCTTTCAGCACTGGTTTTTAAAAATCTAAAGTGTGGTCTTTTTGTAGGGATTTGGATGCCAGCCTCCTGGGGAACAGAGGGGAAATACAAAAAGCCAGACTCTCCCTTGGTCCTGGGGTGAAGAGAGTATTGGGGGGAATCAGGGCTGCTTCGCCTAACTCCTTTGGGAAGACCTACCACCTCTCTGGTGGTTGTAGTTGGGGCAGTGGGAAGGGGTCAGACCAGCCCCCATAGAATGCCCTGGGTTAGGGGGAGGCGGAGGAGGGAACCCATTCTTTTGCTCTAGTGGGTAGTGTACCTCTGGGGAACCACAAGGAGATGGAATTTGGGCAAAAATAACCTGTTTTCCCTCTTCTGTGGGCCAAAGTGGAGGAGGGGCAGGCATTATAAGTACATCGGTTAAATGATTAGTTTAGCTAATCTGGTTTGTGGCTGTGATGAAAAGATAATACTGAGGAGATATCTCTAGGGGTACCTGGTGGAAACTGGTGATTCACTGGATGGGAGGTAGAGGGGGGAAAAGGTAGGACCCAATTAGTCACTTTTTTTTTAATGTTTATTTATTTTTGAGAGAGAGAGAAAGGATGAGTGAGAAAGGAGCAGAGAGAGAGAGGGAGACAGAATCCAAAGCAGGCTCCAGGCTCTGAGCTGTCAGCACAGAGCCCGACGTTGGGGCTTGAACTCACCAACTGTGAGATCATGACCTGAGACGAAGTCCAAG